ATTGCCGATAGAGATTGCTTGACCCATGTCTACCCCTCTTGTTTAAGCAATCTCTCTGCTCTGCAAGGGGGCAGGGAGGGAAAGTATTCTGACTGGTGGGGTCTAGAAAGAAATTTCTCTGCTGTCACCCCCATCCTGTGGAATATTCTTCCACCGGAAGTAAGGCAGGCACCCATTCTCCTGGCCTTTCGAAAAGGAGTTAAAACATGTCTCTGTGCCCTCGTGTGAGGAATCCACAGCCATGGGACTGGTTGGTGCCCTGAGAACCTCCCTTCACCTATTTAACTAATTTTTAACAGGGTTCAATCATCCTTGTCTCTCTTTAAATTCTAAATTTTTAAATTTTATTTTTTTTAAATTCTTATATACAGTTTATATATTTTAATATTTTATTGTAAACTACCAAGAGTCCCTCTCTGTGGGATATTATGGACAGTCCAAAAATAATGAAAAATCAAATAAATAAACATGCCTCGCCAATTTTTTCGTCCTCTCCTCTCTCACAGAACAGAACACACACATGCAATGGGAAATACAACCAGTTTTTTGCATAGTATACTTGCACCTGAAGCACCAGTGCTTTGGTTTTATGTGTAATCCTCATTGCGTGCCTGCTTATTCACTGGTAATCTTTTCTCCAATTGGTTGTTTCTGCATGAGGTGGTATGGCGAGAAAAAGAACAGATCAGGCACTGGACAACATGTACTGACTGATCATGTGACTGAAGGACACTGTAAAAGTTGTAAATGCAAGCATTGGTTGCAAAGTTATTTTTTCAGCCCTGTCAGAATTTTGAATGGTCACTGAATGAGGCAGTAAGAAAGTGAGGTCTATCTGTATAGCAATGCTGCTCAATTTTGGCAACTTTAAGATGTATGGATCTTTAAATTCCAGGATTCCCAGCCAGTATGATGGAAGCTGAAGACTACACATTTTTAGGTTGACAAGGCTGAGAAACACTGCTGTTTAGAAATGGTCTGCTTTGTTTGCAAATATTCTTTTAACACCAAATGGGAGATATATTACCAGTTGTAATAGAATGTGTGGCTGACCGGGGGAAAGAGGGGAAGAGATTCTGCCTAGGAAACCATCAGGCAAGAGAGACAGGAGCCCAGTGGCTTAAAGGTCAGAAAAAGAAACTTAGGAAGGACCCGCACTAATGAATCAAGCAGTTAAAAATAGTGGCAAGAAGCTTGTATTTTCAGACTTGCAAAATTCTGTAAATGTAGGCTTACAACAAAATAAAATTAGTTCATCTAATCATGTTTCCTGTCCAAATTACCTGGGAGGGTTGACATTGGTATAAATAAAATGCAGCAATCTGTAAGATTCCATTATTAATATGATTTTAATCAAATTTCCAATCATTTAAATTAAGTGCATGCTTTTTAAGCAAGCTAAACATTTGTGAGAGTGCATTGCTCAAAGTGAAGTTTGCTATTGCTAGCAATGAACACACAAAAAAGCAGCCTTGCCAAAGTTACAAGAGCCAAACGCTGTGCTATGTGAGGAAGTAGTTAATGTTATCCTTGCCTTCAAGGAAAATGACTCCCAAAATATCACATTTTAACAAGCAATCTTTGGTCGCTATATAAAACTTCTGGGCCCTAGGCCAAGATGTGAAGTTGCAAGCAATTCATATCTAAAGCTCTCTTAAACCTTCTCAAACTCTTATGGTCCATGTCCACGAGAACACAATCCCTATGGATAAGAGAAGCCAAATAGATTGGAAATTTATTATCCTGTAGAAATACATGTGCTTTTGTGGTCATCATTTTTTCTTTCTTCCTAATTTTGTAATGACAAATGGTTAGAGCAAAATCTCCCAACTTAGTAGTCTTTAACCAAAGTTTAAGGTTTATTAAAATGTAAACAAATATTAATAAATAAACAAACAAAGACACATTGAACAAAACAAATAAAGCCTTGTAGGAATTTAGCACCCACTCCTCTCCTAGAAGAATGAAATATTCTAGGAAATATTAAAAAGGCAGGATATTATACCTCCCTGGATGAGAAAAGGAGAAACATGCTCTTGGAAAGCAGCCCCCACCTTTGCTAATAGCCCCAGAAAGGCTGGGTCAGTTTATCTACAACACAAAAGACATGGCCCTCAGGACATGATAGGATTAGCCCTCTACCCATCTAGCAACAGAATTCACCACATGGTGAATCCAGCATCACCCAGCAAGATTCAACCAAGCTTGAGACTCAAGACACTACAAAGTTACCCCTATATGGCCCCATGGGAGTCTGACAACCAATCAGAATACAAAAGAAAGCTCCAAGGTGGGGCCCAAGAGAGGGTATAAATCTCTCTCTCTCTCTCTCTCTCCTATGTGCTTTTTTGCCCAGGACCTCAAACCATGTGGTCCTGCTTCATCATTAAACCAACTTTCCAAACAGCTTCTATGTTTCCAGTGTCTTTCTCTCCACTTGGAACTGAACCCAGATGGACCTTTCTTCCAACAGCCTAAATAAGTCAGTTGCCTAAACTGGTGCCGGGACCCTTTTGGCTGAAGAAATTTGAAACTAAGCCTTGTTGTAAATTACAATTTCCAGTTGCCATCCATCCAAAATGACAGCCATTGGCATGAGGACTGAAGACACAATCAATACCTCAATATTTGCTTTTCTATTTATTAGAAAGGTTTATTATGTTGTACAAGCATAGCAAACACAAATATATAACATAAAGATACAATTAGATAATTAGGCATTCTGCTACACTTTTGTTTGTGTCACAGAAGGCTAATTTAACTGAAATCATTTTCTTAAAAAATAAAAAATCAGTTTTTGCAAGTTTGAGATTTTCCTGAAAAGATAAGCAAATAAGCTCATTTTTAAGTGGCATTGACCGAATGAATAATCACATGCAGGCCTTCTCATTATCAGCTATCCCACTGGTTTTGAAACACATGCAGTTTAACTAGGCCATGAAGAATGAATTAGCTACTTTAGTGCAGCGATGCAATGGCTCTCATGTGGCCTTGATACAGGTGCCTTCATCAGCTGCTGCTGGAAATAAAGAGCCATAAGAAACAATTTGTCCTAGAAAGAGAAGGATTTCTCACCATCTAGAGAAGGAACTGTAGATTGTTCTCTTTCTGCTGTAGAACTATATGTATTGCCATGATAGATTAAAGAAATTATTTAAAACACACAGTTTTAAAAAAATCAAATATTAGTTTTAGATTCACTATTTAATATTATCTGGACAATAGCTGTTTGGAGTACTGGACTATAAATCATCCACATAAGGACAAGTTGGTTATCATTCACAAAATATGTAAACCATTTTTAGAGGATGACTCTACATACAAAGGTATAAATAAAAATAAGTAGCTGGCAGAATGCTGAGAGAGTTTCTGCAGCTCAGAGTTCTGTAAATAAAAGCGCTGAGCTAGAGCGTATCATTCCTCTCGTTCACAAAAAGAAAGTGGCAACTGATACAAGTATGAAAACCCTCCACAGCACAGCTGGCTGTTCAGGAAGGTAAATCCTGCCCCAGGGTTTTGGAATGTTTTGCTCCTTTAAATATTTCTCAGTTAAGCAGAATGCAACAGCATTAGAGTGTCACTCATATTCTGAATGAAAAGTGGGCTGGATTAGCAAAGAGTCATCTTGTACCATTTAAACAGCCTGCTGCAATGTACTTTCTTTCCTATGTTGCCAAACTTTTATTTTCTGATGCTTGCACCTTTGTTTCTTTCCTGCCAGCTCAGCAACAGATCTTTCTAAACTTTAGAATTCAGTACCGCCATGTGGAACTGATTGTGTATTAAGGATGCATTGCTTTACCATGTTTGCTGTATTTGGAATATACAAATACTTGTCCAGGATACAATGGTTATTGTTATTAGACTTTTTCATTTTGTTAAAATATATGATAAAGTTCTCTAGACAACCTCCCCCTGACAAAGCCGATATTGGAGGATGAAATATATTTAAAAACACAGAAGAGAGGAAATATATTTAAAAATGCATATTTAGAGAAAAATATTCAGAATTGAATTTTAATATGAATATTCCTGTGGATTAAATTATGCATTCAATGCAGAAACCACATGGGACAAACTGTCAGGCCCAAATACAGAGATGAAACTGTGAGATTCAACCAAATTCAATCCTTCATTTGCTTATGCCTAATGGACAGAATCTTGCCAAACTAAAGTCATAACCTTCTAATCTACTAGATATATCCTGAGAGATTCTAGGGAGTGGTACCCTGAACCTCTTCCCACCTCCCACTTCCAGCTCAGAGCTGCACAGTTTCTTAATCCAGGTCTCTTTCCGAGAATGCTTTCAGTTGGCAGAGCTGCTACAGGTGCACATTTCATCACCTCAACTAATGAATTTGTATTGTGTTCAGTATTGTATAAGATATAATTTAGGAACAACTGGTCTATACTTGACTGATCCCAGACAGAAGGCAACTCCCTAAACGTCTTCATGGCCTTTTTGCTTGGAGTGCACTGATTTTTTAAAATCAATCTAGGATATGATTTTAAAAATGTGGTCACTAATTTGAAAGGAAAGCAAGCTTCAGACTAGCTCAGCTGATATGTATCATTAATATGTACAAGTGAGGAAAAAATGTCAAAAAAAAGAAAAAGAATCTTGGATTTTATAGTGCAAATTTTTTCCCTGGATTCAAATGAGAAAGCGAAGGAAGATATTACAAACAGATCCCACAACTTTAAAGCCAGTTTAACCAGTAAGAATGATAATATTGCTACACTGCAGCACATACAGTAGTGCAGGAAATGTTCTTACCTTCAAGTGAACTTCACATCACAACTGCAGAATTCAGCAATGTTCATGACAAACTGATATCAGAATAATGAAGTGCATGTAATGAATTATCACTCAAATGCTGTGATTAAACAGTTTCATCACAATATCTAATGCTAGTAGAGAAGTTGTGACATTGCATGAGGATGTCATCGTATATGTGATGTCATTTGCCTCCCATTGTCCTCCTCCCCTCCTTGGATACCTATACCAGCATAGATGAAAAGCTAATATAGATTTGATGTAAGGAGGAGGAGAGAAAGCTTTAAAAACATGAGGCAGAAAGTACATAGGATGAGAAAAGAGAAGATAAATATGTTTCATAATGAATAACATTTTGCTACTTCCAGAAGGTAGTGTTCTGTGCCAGAAATTTAGATTTAAATTTAGATTTAGATTAAAATATTCTTGGAACTCCTACAATCTAAAATCAAGTTGCAGAAGATTAAAGGTAATTTTGTCCCTTATAGGAGGATGGTTCAGAAATCTGTTTCCTGTTATGAAATTCAATTTCGTTTATGTATAGTAGAGTGCCATACCAGTAGTTTTATGATATTTATATGAAATATTAATTTTAATAGCAGACATATTTTGACATACTAGTAAATCAAACATCTATTTATTATTACTATGGTTGGTTGCATAGCCAGATAGTTAGACTCGATTTGGCATTTTCCTAGTAAGACTTTCTCAAAGACCTGGAATAGCAGATCTTATTTTTATATACAAAACATGTGAAATCATAGCTGTCTTCAGTTCTTCAGTTGGTGTTGGCCGTCATATGTTATCAAGTTCTTTCCAAGAACCCAAGAATGTCAGAATTGGTATAATATATAGGCAGATTAATGCAGTGTGGCCTGATGAAAATTTTGTCAATGCACAGATTTTCTAAATGGCATCCAAGATTTTTGTATATAAGACCCAATATGCCAATAGTCACTGGGACCACCAGGAGTGCTTTATGCCATAATCTTTCATCTTCATTTTTCAGCTCTTGATACTTTATGGTTTCTCCAATTCTTTGTCTTCTACTATCTCCTGGTGTTATCACATGAATTAACCATGGTTAAATCTGGTATGTTATGAGTCAAGATGTTATCAGTTGTATTCAGAAGCCCATAATATTTTAACCTACTTGTTTTCAGCTATTTTTTCAACTCCGTATCCCCACCAATTTTTATTACCGGCACATGATAATTTTTCTAGATGTTCCAGTAAATCATTTTGGGGACCATGTTATGCCATTGTTTATAATCTGTTGTGATCTTGTTCTTTGCACAATCTGCACTTTGAATCATTTGACGATTTTTCAATTCTGGCATTGATTCCACTAGTCAGGATACCTTGCTCTTACGCAGCCAAAATCAAGCCTTCAGTTTCTTTTTTAAATGTTCCAGTTGTAAGCTATTGCAAGATTTTATCTTTAATCACTTTCCTTTTGATTTTTTTGCAGGAATTGATCATGTAATGCTTTTACACACCAACATTCTGATTTTGTTTTTATTACATTATTTTGATATTTATGTTTTTGTTTCCTGCACATTCAGTAAGTTCCAATTTTTAAATGGTAATCAACCAGTGCATGCTTTTCTCTCTTGACAGTTTAACCTGAAGTAAACCTCTGCTTCCATTTCTGCAGGACAGATATAAACTATCAATATCACTACAGGGAGGCAATGCATAGTGAGTACTCATTAGCTTTCTTGTTTTTTAGTCCAAACTTTCCAGTATAGCTTGTGTTCAATTAATAATTCTAGCAATATATCATATTTTTTTAAAAAAAGCTTTGGATGCAGAGATGTCCAGTTCTGAGCCATTACCTCACCTAAGAGCCAAGCAAAGGCATAGATTGGATTTGAACATAGGGATTTCTAATTATATATTGTATTAATGAAGAAAGGTGAAGACTCCCATTTAAATGTATTCCCTTAACATGGGAAGATTAGGAATTGATCCTGCAAAGTCATAGATTTAGAAGTGTATCTTCCATCTGGATCATGGGTATAAAACATGTGGTATCACATTGCTGTCATGTGATGTATTGTGACATTTTTCCCCTTCATGGAGCTGGGATGGGCATGGCCTGCGCGTAACACATCCGGCCTGCGAGCTGCCAGTTTGACACCCCTGATCTAGATCTTTCCTACTTAGGCCAAATAAGCATCTGCATAGGACTTTAGATTTTCCAAATTTAAATAAGTTCATATTCCTGTGGAAGAATTACAGTATTATTAAAAGATGCTAGAGATCTCTAAGGGTAGTTATCATAGAGAGTATTCCATATTTTCTATGGAGAAATCATAATAATTAAACATTTATTCCATATGTTTTAGAGCAGGGGTGTCAAACTGGCGACCCGCAGATCGGATGCATCATGTGCAGGCCACGCCCACCCCACCTCCGCAAAAGAAAAAAATGTCATGATATGTCACGTGACAGCAATGTGATGCCACGAGTTTGACACATGTGTTTTAGAGCAAGTAAGCTCATAAGAGATACCAGTAAATCATAGGTTGGTGCTTGCTCACTCCTGGAGTCAAGCTAACAATCAATTTGTAGTATGTTAATAATTAATCTTCTGTTATTAATAATTCTGTCACTCAATCAATTCATCTTAAATACTCAGCTACATAATTTACAGTAATACTAAGTATTGGTGAGAAAATGAAAAATTAGGAGTGCCCAATTGTGCAATAGCTAAATATCTAACATTTATTTGCTGGTCAGCAATATTATATAAATGACATACATGGATTTATATAACTAGAAGTGGTCAGAGAATGGATCTGCAAAAAAAGAATAAGTATAAGTAAGAATATGTATTTTACATATTCATTAATCCCTACTTTGAACTATGATTATATTATTATACCTATACCATTATTATATCTATATGTACCTAATTTTATTACATTTATTGTATTGTATTGTATTATAATATCATATCATATTAAAAATAAAATTAGGTATATATAGATATAATAATGGTATAGGTATAATAATGTAATACATGTATTATATTACTATACCTATACCATTATTATGCATATATGTATATATACATACATACGTGCATCCCAGGGCAAGCAATTACTATAATAATAATAATTATATAATTATAATAATTACTGCAATTACTGCAAGTTCAAATCTCACCAGGTTCAAGGTTGACTCAGCCTTCCATCCTTTCAAAGGTAGGTGAAATGAGGACCCAGATTGTGGGGGCAATAAGCTGACTTTGTATAAATATACAAAAGTATGAAGGCTATTGCTTAACGCATGGTAAGCCGCCCTGAGTCTCCGGAGAAGGGCGGCATATAAATTAAAGCAAAAAAAAAAATTGTATACAAACACAGAAAAAGAGGAAGGAATATATATATACCTCTCTCTCTCTCTCTCTCTCTCTCTCTCTCTCTCTCTCTCTCTGTGTGTGTGTGTGTGTGTGTGCGTGCGTGCGTGCGTGTGTGTGTGTGTAAAACAAGAAAAAGAAAAACAATATAGTTCACTAACACTGTTCACTCTCCCTCTATATATATTTCTGTCCTTATAAATATATGTGTTCTAAATATGCCTACACACTGATGCAACTCCTTCTTAGGCCTCTTATTTTTTTCCAGCATCTTATCAACTCCTTGATAGCAATAGCAATAGCATTTAGATTTATATACTGCTTCATAGTGCTTTTACAGCCCTTTCTAAGCAGTTTACAGAGTCAGCACATTGCCCCCAATAATCTGGGTCCTCATTTTACCAACCTCAGAAGGATGGAAGGCTGAGTCAATCTTGAGCTGGTGAGATTTGAACTGCCGAACTGCAGCTAGCAGTCAGCTGAAGTAGCCTGCAGTGCTGCACTCTAACCACTGCGCCACCTCGGCCCTTACATCAGCGGTTCTCAACCTGGGGGTCACGACCCCTTTGGGGGTCGAAGGGCCATTTCACAGGGGTCGCCAAAGCCCTCTCTCACCCCCCCCACGCCTTCACTCACCCTTACTCTCTGTTCTGTTGGATCGCCGGCCGTTCACTTACCCCACCCACTCCCAATCTATTGCTGCCTCCTGAGTCCCAACTGATGGCTAGAGGGAAAAAAACTGTTTAAATTCTTGCCGCTGGGCTTCAAAGGGCCGCCCTATAGCCAGTGGTGGGATTCTGCCGGTTTTAAGGGGTTCAGCCGAACCATTTGTTAAATTGCTGGCTTGCCCCACCCCTCTGCACCACTATTTATTGCCAATAAATAGTGGTGGGCAAGGAGCGGGCGAGCCAGCAATTTAACAAATGGTTCGGTGTTTTTTTGTAATTTTATTGGCCCGCGGAGCTTCAACATAGGCTAATTAGCCCTTGCTTAGATTGGCTCCCGACTCTCAGCTGATTTGCTCTCAGCTGTTTTGGGGAGGGCTCTGCTGCTTCCTTGCAAAGAGTCCTGGTGCATTTTTTTTCCCCTATCTATGCTGAAAAATGAAACCGAAACTAAAGCAGGCTGTTGGCTTTGCTGTTGCTGCAACTTGAAAAATTAGCCAGGCAGATTTCTTTTCTTTTTCCTCACCAAAAAAGGTAGGTGCAAACAATGGGAAATTTAGGGAAAAAGAGGAGAGTTCAAGATTTTAAAACACAAAAGAAAAAAAGCTCTATTTAACTAGGGAATTGTAATAATTGAGATACTATTAATTGTATATTGTGTTGAAAGCAGAAATGGTTAAGTTGTGGTTTGGAGGAATATATGGGGGAAATTATTTGGTTTATTATTATTGGTAAATATAATTAATTGATTTGTAAGAAATTGGATTGCATGGAAATAATTGGAATATTCATGTTCATATTGATTAATATACAAAAAAGGTAGTTATATAACTAATTGATTTATATTAAAATGTTGAATTTATATTAAACAACTGTAATATTACATAATTAACCAATGTGAGGATGGATATAAAAATAGATGACAATGGGAAGGGGTATAATATAGAATAGAAGAGAAAAATTGAATTTGATTAAGATTAGAGATGAGGATGAAGGGTAATATTGGTTTTTTACAAAAATAGATGAGGAATAAATATGGCAAAAAGGAAATATAGAAATTGTAAATTTAATTGAAATGACTAAACGCTGTTTAAATTTGTGAACCGGCCAAATACTCTGTTCAAAGAAAATACATTGTATGTTTGTATGTGTGTTTCTAATTATTGTTATTAATTCATATTTGTTCTCTTTTATTCTTTAAAGTTTAGCAATTCATTCTTTATCTTAATATCTTTATATTTGTTTGGGGTTGGCTTTCTTCCCTTTCACCTTTTTTATTGTGCAGCAATCTTTCTCCTCAAACCTACCACCTCTCTCTTTTCTTTCCTTCTTACTTTCTCTTCCTCCCCCTCTTCTTCTCCTCCCTACTTCCTCTTCCTTTCTCCTTCTCCTCCTCTCTTCCTCCCTCTCTTACCCTCACTCCTACTCTAATTTCCCTTTCCTTCCTTCATCCCTCTCTATTGCTGTATCTTTTTATGAATATGGACTACTCAGTGGGCTGAAAAAGTTATTTCTGACTGGTCCTCGCACTTTTGACCAGTCCTCGAACTTACGACTGTCCTCACATTTTACCTTTTTGCCCTATCTTGTCACCATGGTGAAGAGAAGCAGTTGTGAAATCGAAACTAAAGCAGGCTGTTGGCTTTGCTGTTGCTGCAACTTGAAAAATTAGCCAGGCAGATTTCTTTTCTTTTTCCTCACCAAAAAAGGTAGGTGCAAACAATGGGAAATTTAGGGAAAAAGAGGAGAGTTCAAGATTTTAAAACACAAAAGAAAAAAAGCTCTATTTAACTAGGGAATTGTAATAATTGAGATACTATTAATTGTATATTGTGTTGAAAGCAGAAATGGTTAAGTTGTGGTTTGGAGGAATATATGGGGGAAATTATTTGGTTTATTATTATTGGTAAATATAATTAATTGATTTGTAAGAAATTGGATTGCATGGAAATAATTGGAATATTCATGTTCATATTGATTAATATACAAAAAAGGTAGTTATATAACTAATTGATTTATATTAAAATGTTGAATTTATATTAAACAACTGTAATATTACATAATTAACCAATGTGAGGATGGATATAAAAATAGATGACAATGGGAAGGGGTATAATATAGAATAGAAGAGAAAAATTGAATTTGATTAAGATTAGAGATGAGGATGAAGGGTAATATTGGTTTTTTACAAAAATAGATGAGGAATAAATATGGCAAAAAGGAAATATAGAAATTGTAAATTTAATTGAAATGACTAAACGCTGTTTAAATTTGTGAACCGGCCAAATACTCTGTTCAAAGAAAATACATTGTATGTTTGTATGTGTGTTTCTAATTATTGTTATTAATTCATATTTGTTCTCTTTTATTCTTTAAAGTTTAGCAATTCATTCTTTATCTTAATATCTTTATATTTGTTTGGGGTTGGCTTTCTTCCCTTTCACCTTTTTTATTGTGCAGCAATCTTTCTCCTCAAACCTACCACCTCTCTCTTTTCTTTCCTTCTTACTTTCTCTTCCTCCCCCTCTTCTTCTCCTCCCTACTTCCTCTTCCTTTCTCCTTCTCCTCCTCTCTTCCTCCCTCTCTTACCCTCACTCCTACTCTAATTTCCCTTTCCTTCCTTCATCCCTCTCTATTGCTGTATCTTTTTATGAATATGGACTACTCAG